ACGAGCCGACGGGGACGCCTCCAAGTGTAGCCGAAGACTTTGTGACTGCGGCGAGCTTCACCTGCGGGGAGGGAGGCGCGGGCTCGGGACGCGGGCGCGGGCTCAGAGCAGTCGGAGGGGAGCCGAGAGGGAGGGAGAGAGGGGGGGAGAGAAGGGGGGGGGGGGGGGGGGGAGAAACAAAGGGAGAAAGGGAGAAAGGGAGAGAGAGAGAGAGAGAGAGAGAGAGAGAGAGAGGGAGAGAGAGAGAGAGAGAGAGAGGGAGAGAGAGTCAGTCAGACAATTGCTGCTCTCGCCGCGCGCCTCTGCCCTCTCAATCAGCACAACCCTCTGCTCTGCGTCAGGAGAGGAGCGAACCACGAGCCGCAGCTTGGAGCCGGCGGCGCCGCGCACGTACTTGGACGCCTCCTCCGCAGACAGCCGCGTGCAGTCCTCCCCGTCCGCGTTCACGATCTCGTCGCCTGGCCGCACCCCGGCCCTGTCCGCCGGCCCACCCGGCACGACGTTGTTGATCGTCACGCGGTTCGACGGCTCCGTCTCGGTCTGAAGCTCGACGCCGATGCCGACGACGCCGCCCGTCGCGGTGGCGAAGACCGCGTCGTACGCCGACGGAGTGAGGAAGCGCGTGTACTTGTCGTCCAGCGCCGCCAGCATCGCCCGCACCTGGTCGTATGCGTCGACGCGCGAGTCGTACCGCTGCTTGAGCATCTTCTGCCGGACAGAGAACCAGTCCTGCCCCCCAAACTCGCGATCCACAAACTCGCGGTCCGTCACCCGCCACGCCTCAGCCACCAGCTTCTGCTCCTCGGTCAGCGGCTGCGACGCAAAGGCTGCAGCCGGGCCGAGCTGCGGGCCGACGTCTCCTCCGAGGAGCGACGAGGCGAGCAGCACCGAGGCGAGCGAGGAGGCCGCCGCGCGTGCGATCGGCGCCAGCGGTGGGGCATGTGGTGGTCTCGGAAGTCGCATTGGTGCTGGAGCGTGAGCGTGTCGGCTGGCTCTTCGGCAGGCGTCTGCAAGCGTCTTTTTGCGTGAGAAAGGGAAAGAATCCTAGGTGTTAGATACACACGGGGGGGGGGGTTGGACAGACAGGATACACGTGAATCCACACTCAGTCTGGATACACAGTGGATACACAGTGAGATACACAGCCTCCGGTTTCGAAGACGAGCACGTTTTTTTTGCTGTGTCCGAAAGAGGTATTCGCCTGAGATCGCCGTCGCCGATGCCCTTCAACCCGAACCCGGATCGCGCGCGGCGCGGCGCAGGCGCGACGGCCCTTGTGCCTGCGCCGGCACCTGCGCCGGCGCCTGCCGCCACGGCCCTCGCCGCGGCGGCGCCGGCTGCAATTGTGATGGCTTAGTTTGGTTCTCCCCTAGATAGGCATGAGCGAGCGAGAGCCGGAGAGGGCGCGTGTGTAGGCAGCTTCCGAGAGTTGAGATACACTAGATACACTGTGTATCCACCCAAGTTCTGGATACACTGGATACATATCTAACACCTAGGGAAAGAATTCTGTTTGGCGTGGTCGGGAGGGAGGGCTTTCTTGTGTCTCTTATGCTCTTATCCTACTGTGAACGTGGAACAGAGTGAGACCACATACTCTGAGGGGAGGCGGGGCCCCTAGGGGGTACCCATGCGGGGGGAAGATGGGGTCCCATGGCCCGCCGCAGGCCGATTTTTTTGTCGGTTTTCTCTTTTGCGCGATTTGCTACTTGTTTTCATGAGAATTTCGCGTATTGCGACCAACCATGCTATCACGCCTTGCGACAGCCTGTCGGCGCTGCTGACCGTGCCCTGCTGCACAATTGACCACCTGCATAGCTCGCGGCCTTAGTATCCAGCATTCAGTGACGACCTGATCGTACGGCCAGTAGGAAGGTGTCCTTCCAGCGCGTGCACGCTTCTGACGCAATGCGCGTCGCCTCGGATTGGCTGCTGGCACTCTCGAGGCTATGCCTACACAGCCTCGCGCGCATGGGCAGTCAAGAGGGACCATGCACGTTCTCACGACAGCGCCGGTGCCTCTCTCTTGGACCGGCAAACGTGGTGGTCTCGTGTCACCAATGTGGGACCAGTGCGGCATCGCGCCATCGACAGCTCTGAACTGCGCCTCACCACTGACCGGGAAGGCCGCCAAGTGGGTCAGCACCGGTCGCACATTGTGGCAGCAGTCAGCAGCGCATGTCTGATAGCTAGAGCAGCAGCGTCAGCTTCGCAGGGTCGGATCGTGTCCCAAGCCTCTCGCCCGGCCGGCCGCGTGCAGACGTCGGCCTGTCTGCTGTCTGGACACTGGAGTGATCTGTCGGCGGTCAGTACGACCGATCAGGTTGGAGTTTTCTGATGATTGGAGGGTCTATCTGTATGTACTCCTCGAGATCTCTCCAAATCTGCCCTCTGATCAACCGTCATTCGTGAAGTCGGTGCTAATAGAGACCAATAGAGCCGGGGCCCCGTTTCCGCACTGCGGCGCGGCGCACGGTGCCTCCGGGGGCCCCCGCCTCCCACCAGAGACCACATACCTCGAGGATCACACCGCTCACCGCCAGCGCGGCGCCACACCGGGTCGTGGGGCGGCTGCCAAGGACCAACCAAGGTCGACGACGACGTGGGGCGGGGCGCCGGGGGGGGCGGGGCCGGGGGCAAATGGCACATGCCACATCGTGCCGGCTCTGTCTAAGGTAAGGTAAGGTAAGGTAAACTTCTCCACACACACGAGGTGGTGGGGCAAGGGGGGGCAACCCTCGCGTCTCCACGTCTAACGACAGGAGCCCCACGGCATTTAAAGTGCAAGGCCCGGTGCGCGTGGGTGAGCGGTGTGTGTGTGTGTGTGTGTGTGTGTGTGTGTGTGTGTGTGTGTGTGTGTGTGTGTGTGTGTGTGTGTGTGTGTGTGTGTGTGTGTGTGTGTGTGTGTGTGTGTGTGTGTGTGTGTGTGTGTCACGTCACTGCATCCTCTGCCGGTTCCTCCCGTCGCCTCTTCTTTGTTCGAATGTATTTCAATCCATCCTTCACGAAGCCCTCCCATGTAGCTAGCGTTCTTTGCGAATGTCTCGAGATGGCCAGCAGGCGCTGTCTGCTCGCGGCCTGTGCGGGCCCCCGCCCGTCCTCCTCGCCCTTCTTTCGTCCTCCCGTCCCTCCCCTCCACCATGGCCTCCTCGGCACTTCTTTCTCCATCCGCCTCGCCCTGCCTTTTCGTGTCGTGCCGTTCGCCCTCCATTCGGTGACCTCCATGGCTGTCCGCGACCTTTTGGGTGGCGCTCTCGATACCGTTGCGTCAACCTCGACGTCGCTGTCGCCCTCCCCGTCCCCGTCGTCGCCCATGCCTCGGTTCGCGTCATTGGTAGCGTTTCCGTTGCCCCCTCGTGCTCCGCCGTCGCCCTCTCTGCTCGGGCCGTTCGCGATTTTGCTCCTCCTGCGTGTCGCCCCTCGTCCGTCTCCTCCCCTGCCTTCGTCGTCATCGTCGCTGTCGCGAAAGCCCTCCGGTCCCTCGATTCCCTCGTCTATCCCTTCCGCTGCGTCGTCCCAGTTTATATCCTCATCCTCAGTGCGTGTTTTCGTTCCCTCCCCTTCTCCATCGTTGTCGCCTCCGCCGACTGCGGCGCTGTCTCTGTCTTACTCTTTCTCTTACTCTTAGCTCTCGCCACAGGCTCAGCCTCGCCTCTCCGCCCGCACGCTCGACACACGACAGAACCCGGACGACGTGCGTTTTTGCTTCTCTACAAAACACGCACACCCACGCCCGCCCCAGTGAGCGGACCCAGCGCCATCGAGAAGAAAGACTTTGCTCTTTGGCGAGCCAACGCAGCCGAGAGATAAATTCTCCATAAAAGAGAGCCTAGCCGCTATAGCGGTGCAGAGCGCGAACTCGCCGTACTGAGCCTAGCGCAGCGCGAACTCGCCGTCTGAGCCTAGCGCAGCGCGAACTCGCTCCTGTTCATAGCTGCGCAACCCTACGTTGTTTTTCTTTTTTACCCCGCCCGTTGCCCCCAGTCAGCGTCCATGTCTGCTCCCGGCAGCCTGCTGCTCGAGAGCATTCTCTCGGAGGACGAACAGTGCCTGGTTCTGCGCTGGCTGTCGGCACGGCACCTCACGCTCGTCTCGCAGGCGAGCAAGCGCTTCCGCATCCTATGCACGAGCGTCGCCGACGCGGCCATCATCGAGATGCGGGTCGGCGACGTGCCGGTGCCACACCTGGAAACCACCTTCCATCGGCTCGCGCGCTTGTGCGGCGTTCGCTTTGCGCCCGCAGTCTTCTACTCTGCGGCCATTCGCACAGCCTGTGACTTCAAGACCGATATCAGTATCGAGATTGCTGCGATCGAGAAGCTGCACGTGCTCGTGGGCGATCAGCCGCTTGTCGACTCGTATCCTGAAGATGATCCTGGGCGGTACTTTGAGTTTGGAGAATGCGGCACGGAATGGATGAAGCATGCCATAACGCACACGGAGCATAGCCGCAGAAAGCACATCAAGCACAAGGACGTGGACGCTGCGATGCAGGTCTTCCTGCGCACACTCCCAATGCGAGCCGATGCGTTACTGCCTGACGAGGAGGAGGACGACGATGACGATTGCGACTTCAAGAACAAGGACGACGGCGACGATGATGACGACGACGACGACGACGACGATATCGGCAGTATCGGCGTGGCCATCGGGCCACAGTGCGGCGAGCTGTACCTCAGGCTTTCAGGCCTGCTATTTTGCTCAGACGGAGAATTCACGCGAGAATGGTACAAGACCGCAGCTGACTTCTTTCAAGAGCTCGAATCGGACTTCCCGTGGAACGGAGCGTACTGGCTTGCTTTGACTCGCGAGGACGCGATCGCCTATGCCATCCTTCACGGCTACCTTGATGGCTTACAACCCGCATCTTTTGCGAGCAAAATGGAGTCGTTTGCGAGCGAAGTGGCGGAGGCTGACCCGGCAAACCTGCCGGCGGGCAAGGCGCTGATCTTAGCGGTCGCCGAGCGAGTCAGCACTACGCTGCAGCCATGTGCCAACCCCGTGTGCTGCCACCAGGCTTGTGACTGCCGACTGGCGAACCCCCATGATGCTTATGCTGGGGGTCGTTGGAATGGCGGACCCCCATGGTTTCATAATCAGGAGCGAGGGGACTACGATGCCACAGCGCTCGAAACCCTGGGGGGCACCTGCCTGCCCTGCGTGGGCGGCTGCCCATCCGCGCGCTTCCTCCGCGAGGCCAACCGGCGCGTCCGCCAGTGGATACGCGAGGGTACACGCCACCCGGAGCGGACCCTCGCCAAGATCGACTTCAAGCTCGAGACCGGCGTCGCTAAGTGGTACTGAGGCCAAGCATCCAATGGCCAGTGTGCGCTGACGGCTTGATGACGAGCCTCGCCTCGCGACCGGCGACTGTACTTGCTCTCACGACGCGTGCCACTCGCGCAAGTACCACTGTGCCGTGACCACACTGCGTGCCGTGACCTGTGCCTCTCGCCTCTCTCTTCGGGTGGCTAACCTAACCTAGGGGAGAGGGGCTGCTTGCTTACTGTTAAAAAAGTAACAATACAGGGTGCGCGAGGGGGTCGCCGTTCGCGCCGCAGCGTACTTGCGCAGTAGCACACATCTTGTCAGAGAGAGTTTGATAAATAAATAAATAAAAACGGACACCTCTCTACTGTGAGATGGGTAAAAAGGAACAGGCCCCCGCCCTTGCGATCTTTGTGCAGGGTTCTTTGTGGGTGTGGTCGGCGACTAGCCGGGGTCGTCCTCCCGATGGGGGACTCGGACTAGCACTAGCCGTCTTCCACATGGTCCCTCGGGTCCCTGCTGCTCCTAATCTCTTCGTACATCCTCCTGCTGATCTCCGCAAAGTCCTGCTCCCTCCCTCGTCTCACCCTGCGCGTCTGCTCCGCCTCACCGTCTTCTGCCCTGCGTCGTCTGGCGACGGGTCCTCCATAGTCGAACACAGAGAGAGTTTGACTTTGTCTTTGAGCGTTCATTTTTTATTTATGAGAGCGAACCCGAACGGGTCGAACATACAACGAAGGGGGTGGATTTTGTTTATGTCATCTCGTGAGCGGCGCGTCCTCGCCCCCCGTTGCCCCGGCGGCCCTCCCCCCACCACCCGCCGTCCGCCTTGGCCGCTCACCCTGCACCGCCTCCTCTACGAGCGCGTCCAATCGCTCCTCAAAGTCGTCGCCATCGGGCGCGGCGGTGAGCGGCGCCGCCGCGGCGACCGTGGCGGCGGCTGGCAGCAACGGGCGGTCCCGCGCTGTGCTCTCGACGGCAGCCCACGAGTACGCGGCAACGCCAACGGCTCCGACGGCGGCGAGGGTGGTGAGGTTGGTTGAGGAGTTCGCGCCGAAGAAAAGGAGGGGCAGCGCGGAGGGCAGCAAGTTGAGACTGCTGCCAGTGAGGCCTACGCGGACGCTAGAACGCTCACTCCTCTCGGCTGTTCATGCCTCTCTCTCCGGCAGAGCTTGACTGCTAGAGCTCGGCGAAGATCTCGGCTACGTGTGGGCGCCCGAGCAGAGGTTCAGCAGCTTCGGGGGCGCGACCAGCGTGAGCGATGCCCAGATCAGGTTCTGGGCGAAGGCGTACCCAGTCCCGAGCACGAGGGTTGCGAGGGCGGGCGCGAGGAGGTTGGGAGCGGCGGGAGGCGGGCTGTTGCCAGCGGCCAGCGTGGTCACGTTTGGTCCTAATGCCGGGGCGCCACCGGCCGGGCCGAGCCAAGCGAGGAGGAGAAGCGCGACGGGGATCGGCGCCAGCGAGGCGGCCGACCAGTACAGCCGCTTGGTGAGGCTCCAGCGGCGCCGGTCCATCAGCAGTCCAAACGGAGGGGCGACTAGGGCGATCATGCCCTCGGGCAGCAGCAGCAGCGCGTCTGCTGTTGCGAGAGGCATGCCGAACCTGTTTGCGCGTGCGGCTAGCGTGAAGACTCGCCCTCTCCTCGTCTCTCCCTCCCACGCCACCAGCCAGGCCTCGACTGCTGCAGATGCTTGGCTCCGATCTCGGACCATCTCTGATCTCGGGTGATCTAAGCTGACCTCGACTGCAGATGCTTGGCTCCGATGAACCAGAACGGCACGACCGCACCGTACACGCACGCGCCGCCGAGGAGGAAGAGGAAGAAGACGCGCGGCAGGCTGCGCAAGCTCGTCCGCAGAGGCTCCTCCTCGGCCCGCTGCGCCGCCGCCTCGTCGGCGCGCGAGAGCGACGCGTCGACCCGCCAAGCGAGCAGCGCGGTGAGCAGGCCAGACGCACCCACGGCCGACGGCACGGAGAGGGCCAAGGGTAGCCCTCCCGCGCGGTACAGGAGCGGCTCGAGCAGAAAGTTGGTCACGGACCCGAGGCGGTTGACGCCGTTGAGAAGGCCGACGAGCGCCGTCCACGTGTCTCGAAAGCGCGGCGAGACGAAGCCGATCGGGAGGACGTCCACCGCCTCATACGCGATACCCATCAGCGCGCGGCCGACGAGCAGAAGGCCGAATGCGCCGCCGCCGCCCGCCGCCACCGAGGCACCGACCAAGCCGTTGCCCGCGGCTGCGATCGCAAAGAAGGCGGCGTAGGTCGCGGCGGCGCCAAAGCGGTGGGCGAGGACGCCGGCGAGGATGGGGACACCGATGTTGGGCAGGAAGTAGAGCGAGGTGAGAGCGTTGTACCGCCGGGCGGAGAGAGAGTACGGCGCGTCAGACTCGAGCGGCACCTCGAGCGCGCCGAGCGAGTCGCGCGCCCAGTGATTCGCAAAGAGGCCGTAAGCGACGCAGGCAACGAGGAGGCAGCGGCGGCCGCAGGGCGAGGGCATCGCACAGTCGATGCTAGCGAGTGTCGGAGGCTAGCGATCGTCGGAGGCTAGCGAATGTCGGAGGCTAGCGATCGTCGGAGGAGTCGCCGAGCGGGCTCGCGTGTAGCAGGCCAGCCGAGTGGCGCGACGGAAGCGACATGAAAAATCAGGACGCCATTGGCAAGAAAAAAAAAACTGCACATTTGGCGACGTCCTCCCATCCCTCTTTTGGATTGTACGTTTCTTTCTTTCTTTCTTGGGCGACGACACACAACACTGCAGGATTCGAACATGGCATTACGACCCGACGCGCTCCCGGGCTCCCGCACACATGCTCTCACACCCCGCCGCACTGGCCCGCACACCGCGCGGGCTGATCGACTCCAAGAAGCTCCTCTTTAGTGCAGCTGAGCCACTAAACGGCCCGCCGTGCAGAGCTCCCCGATACCTCACTGCCCCGGCGCCCACGCCTCGATCTTCTTGGGCAGCAGCTGGTCCTGCTCGTCGCCGTGACCCAGCTGGCCAAAGCAGCTGTGGCCCCAGCTCCAGACGGCGCCGTCGGCGGTGATGGCGAGGCTGTGGTAGCCTCCAGCCGACACAGCGACGACGCGCTGGCCAGCAAAGGCCTCGATCTTCTTGGGCAGCAGCTGGTCCTGCTCCTCGCCGTGGCCCAACCGGCCGAAGCGACCAAAGCCCCAGCTCCAGACAGCCCCGTCGGCGGTGAGGGCGATGCTGTGGACTGCTCCCGCCGACACAGCGACGACGCGCCGCCCCGCAAAGGCCTCGACCTTCTTCGGCAGCAGCTGGTCCTGCTGGTCGCCGTGGCCTAGGCAGCCGTGGCCGCCCTTGCCCCAGGTAAAGACATTGCCGTCGGCAGTGAGGGCGAGGCTGTGATCGGCTCCAGCCGACACAGTGACGACGCGCCGGCCAGCAAAGGCCTCGACCTTCTTGGGCAGCAGCTGGTTCTGCTCGTCGCCGTGGCCCAGCCTGCCATAGCCTCCACCGCCCCAGCTCCAGACGGCACCGTCGCCGGTGAGGGCGAGGCTGTGGCAGCCTCCACCCGACACAGCGACGACGCGCTGGCCAGCAAAGGCCTCAATCTTCTTGGGCAGCCGCTGGCTCTGCCGGTCGCCGTGGCCGAGCTGGGCATAGGCTCCCCAGCCCCAGCTCCAGACAGCTCCGTCGGCTGTGAGGGCAAGGCTGTGGCTGCCTGCAGCCGACACAGCGACGACGCGCTGGCCAGCAAAGGCCTCGATCGTCTTGGGCAGCAGCTGGCTCTGCTCCTCGCCGTGGCCCAAGCAGCCAAAGGTTCCACCGCCCCAGCTCCAGACAGCGCCGCCGGCGGTGAGGGCGAGGTTGTGCGCTGGGTGGTATCCTCCAACCGACACACTCACGGCACGCTCGCCGCCCAGCGGAAAAGGGAGGCGGGTCGGCGTCTTGAGCTGCGTCACGCCCTCGCCGTGACCGACCAGGGCTGGCGCCCAGTTCGCAGCCTTGCCGCACGACGAGAGCCGCCCCTCGCCATCGATGAAGACGCTGTGCCGAGAGCCTGCGGCCGCCCTCGACAGCGGGTTGGCCTCGCGCAGCAGCGCAGCGAAGCACAGCCACCGCACGGCGCAGTTCTCGCCCTCTGGCTGCGCCGGCAGCTCGAAGTCGCGCTCTTGCGCCCACAAGCGGATGGCCTCTACCGCAAGCGAGGCGTAAAAGAGCAGCGAGACGGCCGCGACGCGAGCGATGTCGGCGGGGTCGCAGCGGGAGAGGGCTCGCACGAGGAGCTCCGTGGGGAGGTCGAGGAGGTGGGCGGGCGGCGGCGTGTCTGGCGGGGGCGCGGCGGAGGAGGAGGGGGCGAGGCGGCGCGAGCGGCGGCGTGATGGGGTGGACATCGCGAGAAAAAGAATTTCTGGGGCGTCTAATAACATCGAAGTTTAGCTCAAAAAGAATTTTCAACTTGCAAGGGATACTTCTCCAGACACACGAGGTGGTGGGAGGGGTCAGAGAAATAAAATTTCGCCGTTTTTCAAACGAGAAAACGAAATGCACCAAGTGCACCCGAGGGGAGGGAGGATCCCCTTCGGAATGGGGGTAAGGAGGCCGCGCGCGGAGCGGGGGGGTTCCAAGCGGTGATGTCAGTGAGGAGTGTGTGTGTGGTCGTGCAGTGTCTCTGGTGTCTACTAGCTCCGAGTAGAGGGGGCACTTGGAGCACTTGGAGTGCAGTCATTAACCTCACATCCAGGGCCAGGGAGCTGAGAAGCGCACCCAGCGAGCCGGATGATCGGTATCGGGTTACGGGCTAGAGAGCCCTGACCCCTAGCTAGGGGGGGGTGCGCGTTCGCAGGGAAAGGGCCGTAAAGTAAACACGGTTCTCCGAGGGTTGGTTCTGCGCTTTGGGTGTCCCCTAGCGGCGGAACGCCCCCTCTACTCGGAGCTAGTAAACACCAGACACAGGCATGACGTACACTCTCACCCGACATCGCCACTCAGGGCCCCTCCGCCCGATCTCCCCACCCCCCATCCGAAGGGGCTCCCCTCTTCTCCCGGTCCTCCCTCCTGTTCGCTTTCCGACGGTCAGGCGTCGGCTGCGGAGCCCGCCTTCCCCTCTTATACTTCTTCGACCGCGGCTTCGCCGCCGTCTCGCCTTCCCTGTCTGATCCCGTTGACTCCGCGGGTGGCGATCCCGTGTCCGACTCCCCGGGCGAGGGCGGCGGCGTTGGGTTATATCGCCTCCCCTCCCCGGGGGGTCGGGCCGGCTCTCCTTGGTCGACGAATCGCGCCCGCACCCGCGACCGTTCTATCGTTCTCGGCTCGCCCCTCCCCTCCGCCGGCACCTCCTCCAGCTCGGGGGGGCGTGGCCCTCCTTGTCGTAGATCACGGTGGTCCGACTGCCGCCGCGACGGGTCTACCCCCGGTGGGCTCGCACGGCCCGACTCCACTCGCAGAGGCCGAGTCAGCTCGACTCTCACCTCCTCCGACAGTTGACTCCAGGCCTCACCCGGGGCCCTCCGATCCCGGCCTTCCGGTCCGCCGGCTGACCCGCTATCTCCCCACGGCACCATCCCCCCCTCGGGCCCCTCCCCCGGGTACCCCAGCCTCCGACTGGGCGGTTCCGGGCCCCCCAGGCTCCGCGCGGGTCGGAGTGGTGACGGCCACGCCGGCGGCGGGGGCGGGGGCGGGGGCGGGGGTGGCGGGTACGGTGGCGGCACTCGCGGTCGTAACGCCTGGCGTGGAGCCGCTGGGGCGGCCCCTTGACCCTGCAACCGTTCCAGCGGTGGGGGCGGAGGTGGTAGTGTGGGTGGCGGAAACGGTGGTGGCACCGGTGGTGGCCGCACCGCCTGGTGTGGGGCCCCAGCGGCGGCCCCTCGACCCAGCGGCCGCTCCAACAGTGGAGGCGGAGGCGGTGGTGGTGGGGGCGGACCTGGTGGCGGTGCCAGCCGCCGCAGCTCCTGGAGCTGGGCCTCGGGGGCGGCCCCTTGCCCCCGCGGCCGTTCCAGCCGTGGTTCCACACGTCGGCCGTCTACCCCACCCGAGGCGGGGGGCCGAGCTCTCGTCTCCCCTCGAGGAGGGGGGGGGCCAGGGCCCGGATTCGTCGACGGTCCCGCTTCTCCCTCCCGTCGCTCCGCGCCAGGTCGCAAGCTGCGCAGTAGCTGCGCCGCCTCCCCCCTCACCCGGTCCCTCTCGATTCGGTCCCGCACCGCCCGGATATCAAAGGCCGAGTTGTGTTCGGACAGCGGGCCCGCCGATGCCACACGCCTCTTCACACAGCAGGCGTACGCCTTCATCGCCTGCCTCCCAGACTGTGTCGGTCCCGGTGCAATGTCGTTGACAAGGTAGTCCTCCCCATCCCACCGGAAGACCTGTCCAAGAAGGTCTGTCGAGCCAACTAGTCGTTTAGCCAGGCCCCGCACCTCTCGTGCCTGTACTGGCCTGAGAACGCCGGTGCTGGCCGCGAACGACAGCCCGATCGCCCTGAGTTCCGCCAGGACCGCCCTTTCGCCTGCCGCCGCGGCCACTTGATCCATCTCGGCCTCTCGGATCGCCTTCTCCCGTTGTTTTGCCCTATCTGCTGCCGGCACGAACCTCACCGGGCTGCCTCGTGCCCTTTGTGGCAAGATCCGCGTCGGGGAAGGCCGACCCCTAGGTGCAGCCCCGGCTCGGGGTGCGCTCGCCTGTTGCGGCGGCTGCCCCCCCCTCGCCGCCAACCCGTCTCCTCGCCTCCTCTTCTCATGGACCACAGGGGCTGCACAACAAAAGCACACAAACACTCCCTGTCCCTGCATGGCGTGGGGAACGACCAGGACGGCGCAGAGCTAACCCTCGGAGACCCGTGTTTACTTTACGGCCCTTTCCCTGCGAACGCGCACCCCCCAGGACTAGGGCTCTCTAGCCCGCAACCCGAGATACCGATCATCTGGGTTCTGGCCCGCTGGATGCGCTTCTGGTAGGACTTAGCTCCCCGGCCCTCTGGATGGTGAAAGGTTAATATCGCGGACTGCACGCTCCAAGCGTGAGCCAAGTGCACCGTGCAGCGAAGAGGTGCGAGGAAAGAACAAATACTAGGTGAACAAAAGAATTCTCGCCTCCACCACCGCACAACAAAAAACAACTTCGGCTTGACTGATAAGTGTCCTCCTCAACCAAAGGCAAAGGTCGATCTACTCATCTTCGCCCTCGCCCTCGTCCTCCTCCTCCTCCTCCTCCTCGTCGTCGTCGTCGTCGTCGTCCTCATCCTCCCGCAACTGCGCCGTGTGCTCGATGAGCATGCGCACCAAGTGGCGCAGCGCGTCGACGGGCAGCTCGCGCACCGTCCGCGCGCCCCACGAGGGGTGCAGTGTGCCGTCCTCGCCGCCAAAGTGCATCGCGGCGAAGTGGCGGAGCTCGTCCAGCTCCTGGAGAAGGAGATGCGAGGGAGGGGGTGAGGGAGGGGGTGTGTGGAATGGCGTACGAGGCAGTCGATTGCGTGCAGCCCCAGGGGCTGGCCAGAGTGTCCCGAGGAGGCCCGCATCTACGGGTCCAGCGGACGTCGACGGAGGGCTCCGCCTTGAGCACGAGCACGAAGATGGCCTGCACGGCCCACGGCAGCATGTCGAGCATCGGAAGCAGCGCGCGCGGCAGGGACGACGTCGACGGCGGCGGCGCGGCGATCGCCTTCCACACCCGCCCCTCGCCGCTCCCCTCCGCCGGCAGCCTGCCGCTCGGCCAGAGGGCGGAGATGTACGCGGCGAGGTCGAAGCGGAACGCGTCCGGAGGCTGGAGCGGCGCCGCCTCGAGAAGGGCCGCCGCCGAGCCGCCCCAGTTGATGCGCACCTGAGTGCGCGACGGGCGCGTGAGACGGCCGAGGTGCAACCGAGATGCGGCCGAGGTGCGGCCGAGGTGCGGCCGAGGTGCGGCCGAGGTGCGGCCGAGGTGCGGCCGAGGTGCAGCGCACCCGCTCGCCCGCCGAGTGCAGCCCGACGCACGGGCGGAGCCGCCGCTCTGCGCCGGCGAGGGGCTTTGCGCCCTCGTCCGCCTCGTCGGTCGAGAAGGGCGTGCCGACCAGCTCGCCGTCGAGCGTGAAGAAGATCTTTGGCGCCACCGCCCCCGATCCAAGAGGGCGAATGAGGCCCGTCCCGACGACAGCGCCCGCGCGGTTGAACTTTGGGCCGAAGCGGCGCGGGAAGCCGGAGCCGCTGTAGGCGCCGCCGTCGTCGCCGTGATAGCCAAACGACGAGCCAGTCCAGCCGGGCTGCTTGCACTTGCGCTCGAAGCCCGCCTGCGCCCATCCGACTGCGATGTAGCCGTGCTCGCCCGGATCGACCACCTCGACCTCGTAGTACATCACCTCGAAGCCCGAAGGAGACGTCACGTGCCAGTGCGGCCAGCGGCGAGGGCCGCTGCCCCCGATGGCGACGCCGACCGTTTGGTCGCCCTCGCTCTGGGAGCCGTCGCCCGTCCACGCGAATGTGTTGCCCTGCCTCGCCGCCCTCCATTCCGTCCCGTGCCGCTGCAGGTCCGCCGACTCCTTCGCCTCGAAGGGGGCGCGCTCCGCCGCGGACAGCGCCTCGAAGTCTCGCTCGACCTGCTGCTCGACCGCCGCTTCGTATACATGACCTGTCTTGTAGTAGTCCAGCGCCGTCCGCGGCGGCGTCACCTCCGACGCGTCCACAGTGCGCAGCCACGTCGGCTCCGAGTACATCCTTTGCGCCGTCATCGATGTGTACTCCGCGAGGCACGTCCGGAAGATCAGCTTCGAGCGCGCAGGCGGACGCGCATGCACGCGCCACACCCGGCGGCAGAGCTCGCACCAGAAAGCCTCGTCATCGCAGGCCTGCCGCCACGAGGTGCACACCGCGGCACACGAGCCCGCGAGCGTGCGCAGCGAGACGCGCTCGAGCAAGTGGGCGAGGACCTCGGCGGGAAGGCCTTCCGCCCAGTCAGTGGGCGTGGTGAGCTCGGGGTCAACCTTAGAAGCCATCGCGGAAGTTTCAGAGGATGCGCAAGGGGCGTGCCGCTGTTCAGCGAGGCGCTCCCCCCAGAGTTCTCGAGGTTCTCGAGGAGGATATCCTTTGGCCGCGTTGGGCCGCGTTGGAGCAAAAAAGGGGAGCTCTAGCTACTCGAGTAGAGACGCGGCCGGGGGCCGAGAGCAGACGGCTCGCAAAAGAATTTCAGCCTATGCAGCTGGCGCGTGCTAGTACTATCACCGGCACACCACCGGAGCCGCCTAAGCGACTCCGTTAAGAACGGCAATGCACTTAGCACCGTGCACAATGCCGCTGTCCCCGCACGCTAGCTCGCAAAAGAATTCTCGGACCGACCGTGCTGCGAGCCTGTCGCTGTCCCTTTTGTCAGCAGCAGGAGAACTAGGAGAGCGCAACCAGTAGGAGGCCCGCGCCTGCCCCCGTGCCGCCGGGTGCAACTTTGTCCTATATATACGAGAGGGGAATCCCTGGGACCCTGTCGTGTGGGTGAACCCTGCCCAGCCCCCCTCCGTGTCGCGATGCGCTCCCCGCTCCCGTTCCCCTGTGTCCCTGATCGTCCTCCCACTCACCATCCGGGGCACCTACGAAGCGTTTACCCACCCACCCACTTTTTCAAGAACGGCGGTCCAGAGGCACGTGGTGTGAGACAAAACGCAACGCCGGCGGCGGCGCCGCTGGCGGGGCGGTTTTTCTTTTTTGTGTGGATTCCGATAAGACATAAGTATCCAGTGCCTGCCGTCCGCCGCCACATGGCTCATGGAGGCTGCCATCGGCATACACAAGGCGCAGCTCACCGAACGGCGGGAGGTGTACGCGAGTCGCGAGCCAGCGAAGAAATCGGGGCGCGCTAGGGGGCGCGCGTTCCACTCGCGCTAGTTTCAACCTTTGAAAGTTTCTCGGTCTCGATACGCGTGCGAAAACCACAGAGCACGGACCGCCTGTCTACCTAACCTAACCTAACACACTGCGCCCTCCTGTGCCCCCCGATCGGCACGCACACCGTCGCGTGCGCACCAGCCGCTCCGCACCTCGCTCGCCCACGTAGTGCAGCACGCCGCCGTTGGCAAGCTCCGTGCGCACCTTCCGCTCCGCACCTCGCTCACCCTCGAAGTGGTGCACTCTGCCGTCGGAAAACACCGCGCGCACCATCCGCTCCGCACCTTTGTCGCCCTCGTAGTACTGCACCTGGCAGCTGGGAAACTCTTTGCGCACCATCCGCTCCGCACCTCGCTCGCCCTCGTAGTGCTTCATCTGGCCGTTGGGAAACTCCATGCGCACCTTCCGCTCCGCACCTCGCTCGCCCTCGTAGAACTGCACGGTGCCGTTGGCAGCCATGCGCACCACCCGCTCTGCGTCTTGCTCGCCCTCGTAGAACCGCACGGTGCCGCTGGGAAACTCCGTGCGCACCATCCGCTCCACACCTTTGTCGCCCTCGTAGTGCTGCACGCTGCCGCTGGCAAACACCGCGCGCACCACCCGCTCTGCGTCTTGCTCGCCCTCGTAGTGCTGCACCTCGCCGTCTGGAAACTCCACGCGCACCATCCGCTCCGCACCTCGCTCGCCCTCGAAGTACTGCACGGTGCCATTGGGAAACTCCACGCGCACCAGCCGCTCCGCTCCTCGCTCGCCCTCGTAGTGCTTCACCTGGCCGCTCCGCAAGAAGCGCACCCGCAGCTTCGCGCCATTCTCACCGCGCCGCAGCCTCCAGACCTCGATAGGGCGCTCTCCAGCGCCCTCCACTTCCGACGAGAGGCGGAGCGCTGGGCTCACCCTCGCAAGCCACGGGAAGTGGTTGGCGCTGGCGCGGCGGTCAGCGGCGTATCTGCGAAGGGTGTCATCACTGAGCGTCACCACGCCGAAAGCACCGACGAAGCGCTGACTGAGCAGCAGCCGCATCGCCACGGCGAAGAGCGGGTCCTTGAAACGCGCCAGGCCGCTGCGCAGGGCGAGGAGGCCGAGGCGCGGCGACGCGAGGCTGACGGCGGCGCAGTCGGAGAAGTCGTCGACGCCCTCGAGGATGCGGAGGTGCAGCTCCGGCGGCAGCTCGGCCAGCCAGTCCGTGGGCGGGGCGTCGTCCTCGGTGCGTGCGGCGCGAGGGGAGCGCGACATATATATACACAGAACACACACACACACAAGTTGTTTGTTTTTTGCGTCGGATGAGACGCCGTCGTCCTCGGAAGACATGGTTGTTTCTTCCCTTTCGTCGAGGTGCCAATGTCGCTCAGGCGCATCGAACGCAGCACGGCCCGCAAGTAGCACACACTCAACACAACCAGAGAGCAAGCCGCGGAAGCGGCGCGTTTATTGGATAATAAGTGAAAATGCTAGCTGTCGCCCTTTAGAGAGCAAGCCGCGGAAGCGGCGCGTTTATTGGATAATAATAAGTGAAACTGAGAGGATTCCAGAAGCCTCCGGAGCGATCTGCCCCCTGTGCCTCTGCCTGTGCCCCCCCGTCTCCGTCTCGCGCCTCCGCGTCAGAGGCCGACCGCTTGAGCAGGCTCCGCCTCCTCGGCGTCGCCGCCCTGCTTGTGGCCGGGGCGCGGTCGCCGCTCTCCCGTCTTTGGATCCTCGACGGTCGGCTCACCGACGGTGCGTGGCAGCTTCCACACCAGGGCGTGGACGGCGAAGCCGACGGCGCAGCCTCCAAAGCAGGTGCAGTGTCCAATGACGTTCATGCCGAGCAGCAGGCTGTACGGCCCCGTACCCATCGCGAGCCTGTCGATGAGCGACTCGCGCAACGCCTCGTAGCGATACTCGCTCGCTGCGGCGCCGTCCTCGTCGGCAGCAGCTGTGCACGTCGACGTCCTTTTGTCCTCCCTGGCGTAGCGATACTGGCGATGGCAGCGCCAGCGCCGCCCTGCGCCGCCTCCTCCAACGCCCGAGACTCGGTCAGAGCCGGTGGAGCGACGGCGGCAGATGCACGCCCGATTGCGACCTCAAACGGCGCCGAGCGCCGCAGAGACGGCGCCGCGAGCCGCAGCCGGGTGTCTCGCGACCGCCGCCGCGAGGCCCGTGGCGATGGCGGCGCCAGCGCCGCCCTGCGCCGTCTCCCCCAACGCCCGAGACTCGGTCAGAGCCGGTGGAGCGACGGCGGCAGATGCACGCCCGATGGCGACCTCAAACGGCGCCGAGCGCCGCAGAGACGGCGCCGCGAGCCGCAGCCGGGTGTCTCGCGACCGCCGCCGCGAGGCCCGTGGCGATGGCGGCGCCAGCGCCGGCCTCTGCCGACGCCATGACCGCCCAGCGCTCGGAACATGCGGCGGCGGCGGCAGGCTCGAGCGTGATGACCGCGGAGGTGAGGCTGTGCACGCTCGCACGTCGTACAGCCGCCTGGAGAGGGCACGGATGAGGGCAGTCGGTGAGCGGTGGCGGCCGGGACGCGCTCTCGGGCCCTCCCGTGTCGCCCAGCACGCCCAAAGTGCCGATCCGCTCGGCGGGCGCAATGCGATCCGCATTGGGATCAGGAAAAGGAGGGGTGGGCAAAGGCGCACGCACCTCCGCTTCGACTTGCCCGCCGAGAACATCCGCTTCCGTCAATAATGCAGCGGTCGCCACGGATAATGGGGCGCCCGCTGTGACGTCAGGTCTGCTGGACGACGCCTGTCGAGGCGATGTGCGAACGGTCAGCCGGGGCGGCCCACGGGCGCGCGGTGAGAGGGCGGGCTTGCGCGCACGACTGGCCGCGGCGGTGCTCCCGGCGGCGCGCGCGGCGGTTTGGGCATCGCGTTCGTATAGGGCCGGGCGCAGGCCGGGGCGCGCAGGGGGTGAGCGGAGAGGGCCGTTTGGCAAGTCAAATGCCAGCTGGGTTTGGGGAGTTGGCTGAGTCCGGGACTCTCGTCTGAAGGGTACCAGCGGCCAAAGGGGTCGATTTCTCGACCTCCCGAATTCTCCGGGTAAGGGCGGTCCCCGGCATTATTTAGGGTGCTAATCACGAATCCAAGGCCAGAAACACGCCGCAAGATCATCCTACAGGTGTACTCGGTAACTCCATGGCCCATATCTTCTTTACTTCTACGGCTCTCGAGGTGCTTTACGACTACGCAAGTTGTTGTGTTAGCTTGTTGTGTTATAGCGCGCCACGTGTCACATAAAGGCATTGGCAGCCAACAAACCTAACATGCACATGCCCAGTCGGAATACTTTATAGTAATAGTGAAAGCCCAGATGAATAAGGGCCATAGCCCATACACAAGAGCCGTATCGTTTTAAGCCATATAAGCACAACTTTGAGTAATGAAAAATGCTGTCTGTGGAACTGTGCACTGTGCCCCCGTATCCCGTAAACAACTGGCGGACCGCGACCGGCCCGCACGGTATCGGATTGAAAGACGATTCGGCGGGAGCCGCCTCACACGAGTACATACAATACAAACCCTCTTTCCACGTAAAGCCGTACCGGCGTCGATTACCTTGCACACCGCGCAAGCAAAAGCCTCGCCTGCTCGCTCACCTACCCATATGTCTCTCGTCTCGCGTGCAACTCGCTGCCCACCAATCAACTAGAACTACGTACAGTCGAGGCTCCCCGCGGCGCGTCAGAAGCCGTCGTCGAGCACCTGCCGCCACTTTGCCGGCCCGCTGCTGCGCGGCGCGGCGGCGGTGCTGGATGCGGGAGCCGCGGCGCGCAAGGCGCCCGCCGCGGTCATGGCGACGCCCCTCTGCCCCTCCTCGTCCGACGTGGCGCCCGAGAGCAGCTGCAGGTTGGCGCCGAGCGGCGAGCCGGCGGCGAGGGCGAGCTTCTCGCGCGCGAGGATCTGCGCGCCCGCGTCGATCCGCCCGTCCGAAAAGTCGTCGTCGAAGGAGAAAGAGGGCACGCGCAAGCAGGCGAAGCAAGTGCCGCAGCAGGAGAGGAGCGAGGAGCCGAGGTGCAGCGCCTTGGCGGGAGGAGGCCGGTCGCGCGCGCGGAGGGGCAGCGGCGTGCGGGGGGTGGCGAGGGGGTGCGCGGGCGGGCGGGGCACCGTGCAGCCTCACATCAAGACGATGAGGAGGGGTGCGTAGTCTGATAATGTGTCCTCGACCTCTAAGATGTCGGATCTGCTCATCGTGCCTACAGCGCCCGAGGCTGGGCCCAAAATGAGCCGAGATCGGCCCAGGGCAGGGCAGGCTTCAACCCGCCCGCCCGCCCCTATAAACCAGTCGCGCGGCGCCCGGGGGTAAAAAAGGGCCGCGGGGGGGGGCTTGTGGGCCCCTTGGGCCGGCTTCGGGGGGGGGGGGGGGGGGGGGGGGGGGGCCCC